AAGCCGGGTTGTTGTGGGATGAAGAACCTCCGTGTTGATTCTGGTTCCTGTCTCTGTACTGGTCCCTCTGCTTTGTCCTGCAGTCCCTTACTATATGACCAACTCTGTTGCAATAGAAACAAGTCCGTGTCTCCTGGTGCCTATATCGTGATGGTCCGCTTTGTCCTGCATCTATACCTCGAGTGTGCTCAGGTCTGAAGTTCATAGGCGCTCTTGCTTGTTGCTGGTGGTGAGGGTAGAAACTGCGTCGTTCAGCTGGGAATTCAGCCCTAGTTCGAGGAGGTTCTGGTGTATGCCTGTTGATAGCGAGAATGTCGTGTGTCTGATCGTTGATCTCCAATGCTGTGCTGACTCCCATGGCCGACTCGATTTTCTGGGCTCTTGTCAGGACCTCGGTGAATGTCCTTGGCGTATCGGTCAAATCCATCTGCCACATTGAAAGCTGTAGTACAAGATTCCTGTTCCGCAGTCCATTCTGGAACACAAGCTTTAATAGATCTTCGTTGGCCGCAGCCCCGTACGCCTCAAAGTACGCTCTTTTAACCCTGCTTCCGAAAGTAGCGATGTCTTCGGATAGTTGTTGAGCAGTCTTCAGGAATTTGCTCTTCAGGGCCTCTTTGTCTATGACTCTGTCTGAGTCTAGTATGGCCATCAAGGCCGGCTTAACTGTTTCTTCCCAGTTTGTCTCTTCCTCATCTGAGAACTGTCTCGAGCTGATGAGTTTTAGTGCATCCGTCTCCAGGAAGGTTTTGAGGACTCCCAGGTATATACCTTTGGGCAGGTGGAGCAGCGTCATGTATGATTCCCATCCAAGGATCCAATCAGAGAATGTGGACAGAGCTGGGTTGAACCGCTCTGGCTTTCGTGTGGGCAGGTAGGGTACCTTGCCTTGGTTGTCCTTGTCCGACTGTGCTTTAATCCTTTCTGCGACATATGCTTCGAGTTCTTCTTGGTTTGCGAAGGTTCGTTCTCCCATGATGATGAATGGATCCTACCGTTCGCGCCACTTGTAGGTTTGCCGTGTTCCTACTTGAATTTACTTTGCGTTCTTTACTTTGAGAAGGATCAAACAAAGAGAAACGAGGAGGATAACAACGTTAGAACAAAAGGGTATATTAGGGAATAGTAACAACACGTATAAACAAGACCGACTGAAGGGAAGATGGGAAATGTGAAGGGAATAGGGGGAAAATGTGGGATAACTTTACTCCAAAACTCTAACTATTTATATGGGCTGATTGCTTGCGAGGCAATACTAACGGTATATCTGAAATATCTAATCAGTGCGTGGCGTTGCTTAATTAAGCTTAAAAACGGTTTAACTAATGAGCCAAATAATTGCTTGAGATCGCAATGGCTATTGACACTGAACATAAAACGGTTTGAACTTGGAACCAAATACCGTTAACTTTAAACCGACCAATATCTGGGATCCCTACAGATTCGAATGTTCACAAGGATTTCTCAACGGAATATGGTAGTTAGGACCCCTACGAACATAATTAGACTTGTTGCCAATTTTGTATCTCAACGGAAACACCACTTTTACCACTTTTTACCACCTTTGTACCACCTTTCTGGTTTGCCAAATATCTTTAGTTGTGAACATCATAGAAGGCTGCAAATTAACCTAGAATGTTTATCTTATCAAGGAGTAAAACTTTTGTATCAAAAGTTTTTACATCGGACAATCAGCTAATTGGATAATTACCAATTAGTTAATCACCAAAAAAAGTGAAAAATTTTTATTGGCTTAAAATGATTGAAATCGTTTGAAACACGGAGAAATGTAGTTTTTAGAAAAACTTCAAAAATTTTTCACTTAAAATTTTTTTTCGAGACTTCAAAAAAAAAAGTTTGAAAATTTGAAAATATTTTTTTCCGCCAAAAGTGATCGAATTGCATGAAACGTGGATAAAAATGCTTTGCAGAAAAACTTGGAAGATTTTTAGATTGGGGAATACTAAAATCATCAATATTTGAAGTTGGAGTTCAGTAAATCTCGACATATTTTAGTAATTAGGAATAGCTTAGCGGAAAGGGCTGGACCTGAAAAAGGTTAACCACACAATATTAGAGTTTCATAACTAATTACAATACAGCTTTATCAAATTCCACATAAAGAAACAGCACAAAAGGACCATTTAAGATCGAACCGATTTTACCTGCTGTACTATCATTTTATTGATTTCAATGATCAAAACCTCTGTCAATCTTGCCAATCTATACCGGGTATCTGAATGTACCGGACCTCTTATTTACCTCTATAATTAGACCCAGTTGTGCAAGAAATGCGATTTCTCACAGGGGTTTCTTTAAACTGTGCACTTTTTATCACTCTCGCAACTCGCAAGAGGCCTGGTATTATAGGAAGCGAGGTAAATATACCTTCCATCATCCATTGTGGCTTTTTTGTATTGTGAATGCGCATGCCGCTTCGTTTGCTATGCCATATACCTCGAATAACCCCCATATGTCATTGCCAGGGTCGGGATAGAGCTGGAGATAGCATTGAAAAGTTGCTAGAAATAGCTAGATTTAGAGTAAACTGGTGGTAGCTGGGTGGTGCTAGCATGGATGTAGCAGAACGTAGCTACACGGGGTTTCATTGGAGTTGGTTATTTTAATGGCCAAAGAGTGCCGGAACTAAAGTTACTTAAGATTGCAGTTTAGGGGCAGTGTAAACCACGGTGTAGTCAGGGACACAGAGCTACAGTGCAGGAGTACTGCAAAAGAACAGTGCAAGTGATACAGTCTGCAACAGTAAAACTCCGAAGAAGGAGATAAGATTGTGGCTGCAGAGGAGGAGAGTAGCTGGAACCTGATTGTGTTTGTGTTGAAAGAAGAGGAGGAAGAAGAGTTTCCTGCTCTGGTAACTGTATTTTTGGAAGAGGTGGGGTGAGAACTTATTTTCAAGCGACAAGGGTGGGCTGGAAGCAACCAGATACAGCTATCCGACCTATTAAGATCACCGTCCTGAGCTTAACAGCATTTCATCAGAATCTTATGAAAACAGAGAGACTGACCCACCCTTTTTAGATCCAACGAAACCCTTTATATAAATCGACTTTTCTGCATGAATTACTTCATGGTATCTTCTTATCAAGGCTACAGACCTTGCCGTACCGGATTTATTGATCAAAGTGAGTCTCTTTAGCCCTCTTCTTCTTTAGAGCTTTAGGTTAGTGATCAAACTCTTCGCTACTCGCTCTTCACTGGATCTATCAGGACAGATTCACATCTTTTTAGGTCTCAACCAGCCTTAGTTTTCCTGTTTTCATCATGTAGTACGTTCTGCTACCTCCATTTTAGCACCACCCAGCTTCCATCAGTTCACTCTAAGTCTAGCTTCGTCGGCGTTTTACTGTTGCAGACTGTATCACTTGCACTGTTCTATTGCAGTACTCCTGCACTGTAGCTCTGTGTCCCTGACTACACCGTGGTTTACACTGCCCCTAAACTGCAATCTTAAGTAACTTTAGTTCCGGCACTCTTTGGCCATTAAAATAACCAACTCCAATGAAACCCCGTGTAGCTACGTTCTGCTACATCCATGCTAGCACCACCCAGCTACCACCAGTTTACTCTAAATCTAGCTATTTCTAGCAACTTTTCAATGCTATCTCCAGCTCTATCCCGACCCTGGCAATGACATATGGGGGTTATTCGAGGTATATGGCATAGCAAACGAAGCGGCATGCGCATTCACAATACAAAAAAGCCACAATGGATGATGGAAGGTATATTTACCTCGCTTCCTATAATACCAGGCCTCTTGCGAGTTGCGAGAGTGATAAAAAGTGCACAGTTTAAAGAAACCCCTGTGAGAAATCGCATTTCTTGCACAACTGGGTCTAATTATAGAGGTAAATAAGAGGTCCGGTACATTCAGATACCCGGTATAGATTGGCAAGATTGACAGAGGTTTTGATCATTGAAATCAATAAAATGATAGTACAGCAGGTAAAATCGGTTCGATCTTAAATGGTCCTTTTGTGCTGTTTCTTTATGTGGAATTTGATAAAGCTGTATTGTAATTAGTTACAAAACTCTAATATTGTGTGGTTAACCTTTTTCAGGTCCAGCCCTTTCCGCTAAGCTATTCCTAATTACTAAAATATGTCGAGATTTACTGAACTCCAACTTCAAATATTGATGATTTTAGTATTCCTCAATCTAAAAATCTTCGAAATTTTTCTGCAAGGCATTTTTATCCACGTTTCATGCAATTCGATCACTTTTGGCGGAAAAAAATATTTTCAAATTTTCAAACTTTTTTTTTTGTAGTCTCGAAAAAAAATTTTAAGTGAAAAATTTTTGAAGTTTTTCTAAAAACTACATTTCTTCGTGTTTCAAACGATTTCAATCATTTTGAGCCAATAAAAAATTTTCACTTTTTTTGGTGATTAACTAATTGGTAATTATCCAATTAGCTGATTGTCCAATGTAAAAATTTTTTGATACAAAAGTTTTACTCCTTGATAAGATAAACATTCTAGGTTAATTTTCAGCCTTCTACGACGTTCACAACTAAAGATATTTGGCAAACCAGAAAAGTGGTACAAAGGTGGTAAAAAGTGGTAAAAGTGGTGTTTCTGTTGAGATAAAAAATTGGCAACAAGTCTAATTATGTTCGTAGGGGTCCTAACTACCATATTCCGTTGAGAAATCCTTGTGAACATTCAAATCCAACGGAACCCTTAAATCGACCACTTTTCCCCTTACTATCTACTAAAAATCGACTGAAGAATTAATATCTCCTAAAATTGGAAAAAAATATGTCCGTTCACAATTGTGTCCGTTCACGCAATGTCCAGTCAAATAATGTCCGATAAGATACCAGTACCGCTATTAGTTGTACATTAAGCAGTTCTACTGAGTGCATGTAGAGATATATATATACTGTTGGAAGTTTCAATATCGTGGTTCATAGTCATGCATGACATGAGGATCGCGACGTGAGTTTGACGTGCTATACTGTTAGTGTTATTGTTAGTGTTATGCCGCATCCAAAACGTAAGTGGTGGAATCGGCGACGCGCCCATACCTACCCACTCAACTACTTTGCATTTGGCAAAACTTATAATTTACTCAGAGGCACACAGTTCTACGTGTCTACTAATTAATTTGCTCCGGAAAAACTCTTGGTGTTCTTAAAGTATATGATTTAAAATTAGCAAATTAGAAAAAAAGAATAGTTAGACCAAAGACAGGATGTGTGTTGTGTATCTCACTATAAACTATATATATTATTATCTTATTATATACTAGCTATTAGCTAGCGCTATTTGTGAGTCACTTCCTTTTGCAAACCATAGAATTGCATTCGTATAATTGTCACAGCACCAAATACACGTTATTTCTCACGATACTTTTTATTTGCTATTAGTAAACACCTCCAAGTTACTTTTTTTTTAAAATATCCGCAGTAATTTAGTTTTATTGCCGGATATGACAAATGATATTTAAGAGGTTTGAACTTTCCGTTGACAATCCGTCGGGGATTTACTATTCAGGTAAATCATAACACGATAATTCTAGGGTTGTTTTCCTGACCTGAATTTGTGCACCTCCATTGAAGTCTACTTTTCATATTGTTAAACCCGATTATTTTACCCCAAATAAACACACCAAAAACCCAGTTATCAAATCCTAGTAAAGTAGTAAGCTGTAGGGCCTTTCGTGATATCGTGGATAAAATTAGTTCCACCTCCATCATCACATACCAGGCTATTAAGAATTAAAACAAGTCCTTCAAATTATGAAACCAGGGTGAGGACTGGTTACACCTGGTTACACCTGGTGACTCCTGGTTACACCTGGTTACACCTGGTGACTCCTGGTTACACCTGGTTAAAGCACTTCCATAATACTCAATAAGTCAATAATGTAATAAATGTGTAGTGTTATAATTAGTTAAATACTAAACAGTATTTTTATATTTTATTTGTCTCAGGTCAGTTGGTGACAGGGAAGGTTCTGATCGACAGCACTAAAGATAAGCAGATAGACAGTATTAGTTTACATGTGGTAGGAGAAGCTGCTGTTTACTGGGCAGAGTAAGTTAATTACTAATAATCAATTAATAATTAAGTACTAATTGATTGTGGTATGTGGTAGAAGAACATGGGTAGATTATATTTTTCGTGAAATTTCCCTTTTCCTTTCCGCAGAATTATAGATCCTAAAAATTACACTCAATATTATGACAAGTTTGACAAGAAACGATTTTGAAATTCAATTTTGAAACTCTGTGTGACCTCATTCAACCTTTCAATATACTCAATTACCACCATTTTACCTTTCCAGGAACGAAGGTAAAAGAGAAGGCAAGAAAACAATCCACTATCAAAACAGAGAACCCTACTTCAACCAGAATTTCCTTCTCCTAGGCTACAGTAAAGGATTTACCATAAAGTCCGGATCACACGTCTTCCCTTTCAAATTCCAACTCCCACAAAACCTCCCCTCCACATTTGAGGGGGAGTACGGTAGCATCAAATACAAACTAAGATGCTCAATTCAGCGGTCCTCCAAGAAGAAGTTCCCGGACACCACACTAGATATAAACGTGATATCACTGTTCAACCTCAACATCGTCACCTCCGCAAGCAATCCGCTCTTTGTGAGCAGACTGTTACAAATCCCGGGGAATGATCAGGAGCATCTCAGACAAGGAACGGTTAGTGTTTGTTTAACGACCCTCAAATCAGGGTTTGTCCCTGGGGAAACAATCTTGGTCAGTGCGGAGATCAGAAACTGTTCCCCCAGAGTTATCAAGAAAGTAGGACTACAGCTGGTCTCGGTGGAGACCTACAAAAGTAAACTGAGGTCCACTACTTGCAGAAAGGTGCTGAGTATTACGCGATATGAGAACTGTAAAGTGTACCCCGGGCATTTCTTAGCCTGGAACGATGTATGTCTTGTGGTTCCTCAGAGGTTACCACCATCAGGGCTACCTTGCTGTTCTATCATAAAAATCAAATACATCCTCGAGGTGACGTTTAAACCATCAGGGAATATTCCAGCAATGAGCTCGTCATGTGACATCATCTTAGGAACTATTCCACTGAAACAGAAGTTTCCAGTTGTGAGGCGAACTAGAACATACGAGAAGTTATCCTCGTCTACAGAGGATGTTAGTGAGAATGTTGGGACGGATAACAAGTTCCGACCAAGGAGTAAATCTATAAGTTGCAGAAGTGAGCCCACTGCGGTGCGAGACGTTGAGCAAGCTAAAAAACCTCTCATCAGACTCAAGTTTGGTTCAGAACCCCATGTTGCTAGAACGCCACGAATGAAGAAGATCATATCTGGTTCTGAAAATGATCTCAACCATCGTACCATGATGAGACCTCAAACCAACAGGAACCCTCCCCAGCGACCTTCTAGAACATCCAGCCACCAACACCTCTCCCAACCCTCTGTAGAACTATCTGAGCCCAGAAACTACGTGTCTGAACCCAAAAACCACGTCTTCAGGTCCGCAAAAGAAGGCAGCAACTCCAGCAGTACTTCTGATGGAGTCTATGATTGCTACACTAGGAGGAGGAGTAAAGGAGGAGGAGATAACCCGGGGTACGTTACTATAGTGGAGAGGGAAGAGGAGAGTGATAATATGTTGCGGGTTTTAGAGTCAGGAGCTTGGGATGAGGAGACTTTTAGTAAACTACTAATGTCTTCGTAGATGAGGGTTTTAGTAAACTACTCATGTCTTCTTAGTTGAGGGTTTTAGTAAACTACTCATGTCTTCTTACTCTTAGTTGAGGGTTTTAGTTATAAACTACTAATGTCTTCTTAGAGTTAGTGGATGGTTTCAGAGTCAGGATCTTGGTGAATCCACTTATTGACTGACTTTATGTTTTATAGTGTATCCTCAGACACTGGCATAATTTCACAGTTAATCACTTCATGTAATTATAGTGTGTGTGTGAGGCCTCCTTTTAATTCCTTGTGCATGATCTATTTTTCCGTGATCTATTTCTTTGGTTGTATCGGAACAGTTTCATTCACGTTGACTACTTTTTCACAGTTTATTATTTAGCTTTCGAGCAGTATACTATTTTGTTTTCTATATTTTTTCAGACTTTTGCTTAAGTCTATTTATACATTACTTTATCATATTTTATTGAACTAAGGTGTAGTATTTTAGTAGGACCTAACATTGAATTTTAGTTCCTACCTCAGTTGTAACTGATGATATTATGGTTTTGTATCATGATTGAAACATTTGTCTGACTCAACCGGTCGTTTCAATTTGTATCTAGCTCTCGGCTTGCCGATTGAGCACTGTCAGCAGACGACGCCACCCACAATTATATATATATATATATATATATATATATATAGTGTATGTGCATGATGATGGGATTCACTTGCTCGCTATAAAGTTGTAATTGTACGTGCAGTGGCGTTAATGTTACACTACTGTGTACGTTTCACTGCGTCTTAATATCATACTCAAAACAGTATTATTCAGTTTTAAGACTCATAAACAGGTAACCGCTTTATCAGTTTTATGTACTGTTTCGTGAGATATGCTTCAATTAATTTCAAACAAGTTTCATCAGTGGTTTTTTCGTTTTAAATAGACTGTTTCAGTCTGACTACAAATACTGAGATATTTATGCTAATTGAGAATGAGTTACGGTAGTAATATCAAAACTGTGGTATCTTGGTTCAGGAAACTAGCTAATATTTGAGAGCCAGAGTGTCCCAAAATGTACTTTGTTAGTTGCATTCCATTTAGAATCCTTTACTGGAAAATTAAAACTGAATTATAAATCGAAGATCATGATAAACATATTGATGTTTATCAACAGATTATAAACAGATTATAAACAGATTATAAACAGATTATAAACAGATTAATAAACAGATTATGTTTCTAAACATATTATCACGATCCTTATTATGTTGCTTTGAAGTCTACCCCATTCCATCTTAATTTGCCTGAGTTAACTCATTTTTCCAATATCCCCTACTCGATTGTGTATACTTGAAATTAGATTTTACCCATTTAATGACTTAATGAAATCAAGAAACACTGGAACACTGTCTGTTCTGATTCCTGGTTTTGTTTTCTGTGTTACCCATCTGTACAGCAATCATTTGCAAAGATATTTCTCTGTTATTGTCATTTCTTTAACACCGGCGTTGATACTTGATCACTTGAACCACGGTACTTGTTAATAGGAGTGCTAAGTAAAAAGTAGATCGCTTAGATAGGGCAACATTTTTAACATGTTTGTTTAGTAACTCAATCTCATAGTCAAGCGATAATATTTACTTCCGTGAAATTTAGACACCCACCAGTGAGAGTAATACCCACTAATTGGCTAATAAAGTTTGGGTTAGCATACCATGACTCTCTCTACTCTCCTCTGACTATTACATTGTTTACATTTGCATTGCCACGTTCAGTCTCTGTTCTTCTGTTCAAGCAATCATGACGCATTCGTTTTACCTGGTAATACTGATCACTGGTAACACGACATCTGTCCGACAGCGACATCTGTCCGACAGCACTGTTTCTTGTGTTTGAAGTGATATCTCAAATTTGGCGCAAAGAAATTCACCCAAACTTGCACAAATTATTTTCCTTAAAGCTATCTTACTATCTAGAAAGTTTCAAGAAAATCGTATTGTTGGATCTCCAGATATATGCCATGGAACCACTGCAAACCAACGAATTGGAGATATGTTTTGTGTTTAAGGTGATATCTCAAATTTGGCACATAGAAACACAGATTATCCGTCCTATAACCAGTGGTACTTTATGGAAAGTTTCAAGAAAATCGTACGGTAGGATCCGACATAAACTATTGTCCGAATAACCTATTTTCTGAGTCGGACAGATGTCGCTGTCATGTCGGACAGATGTCGCTGTCATGTCGCTGTCATGTCGGACAGATGTTGCTGTCATGTCGGACAGATGTCGCCCAATCATGATCACTAATTAGTTTTCTCTAAAGGGTTTGCCTTATGTAAAGACGTTGGTGCAAGAGATCACCTACTTCAAGGTGGTAGCTAATATTTATACTTTAAGCTACTATTAGAATTTAAACATTTCGTCTATCTACATTGTAATATAGATCTAATTTTTTTTGTTTGTTTGTTTGTTTTTTTTAACTCTATGACAGAGGGATGTAGCCAAAATGTTGACACAATATAATGTATTTTGTCTTAAAGTGACTGGAAACTCTCACTTAGTCCTTAATAACAAATATGTTATTCATATGTAGGAAATTACTAATGAAAGCCAATTTAAACTAAAACAGAATAATAATGAAGTTTGGTACCCAATTAATACTCTTATTAAATAGGCATACACTGACTGACCTGCATACTTTATTAAATGCTGCTTAAATAGATTCTCGAAGCTTATATAGTTAATATATAATATAGTGTCAACTCTTAACTTTTTTAAATACACTACTCGACTTTTAACATGTATAATATAATTCCACTTTCTCTAGGACAACAGCAATTTATTGCTAAAGAAAGCAATGGCCACGACAACCTTCAAAGGAAAAAGTTTCAAAAAGATCGCTGTTTGGATAATTGTGTTTTCAGGACTTATAGCAGTGTTCTTCTTCAAAATAAACGTCGATATGGATATTCCCCAGACACACCACCAGGACACTCTTCCTGATCCTCCCACACAGAACTGGATTCAAAACCAGTTTAACGTGGCTATTGCAATGTTAGGGAAGAGTCCATACAGACCACCAACAAATTGGACATGCAAGATCCCACGACACACATACTACTTTCCTAACGTAAAGACAATATTCACAGGAGTACCCAAATGTGGGTGCTCTAATTGGATTGAATTTCTTCTAAGAGCTGAAGGGGCTATGGATGTAACTTTAGATCCAAGTGAAGTGGATGCAGTTCACTCGATTTACTCGAACCCATTCCGTTTTGGGATAAATGCAGGCGTAAACGAGCAAGCTAGTTTGGCATATGCTCAAGGTGGTATTTTCAGTTTTACAGTGGTCCGTAACCCCTGGACTAGATTGGTATCAGCCTACAGAGATAAATATACAACTGAGGATCGTGTCGATGCTAAGTTCTACGACAAGATGCACCTGGTAGCGAGGGAGATGAACTGGAGGGATCACAATGGGAGGCCGGATACTACAGATCATCCATATCCTTCTTTTGATCAATTTACAAGGTGGTTATTGGAGCATTTAAATGAAGTTGGCAGTCATTTCATACCCCAATGGTTGATATTGTGTATCCCTGAAGCTAAATACGACTTCATTGTACCTCTAGAATACAGTTATCTGCTCAGTCTTGATATTGAACGGCGCCTCAATACTTCTATGAAATTATATGAATCTTATGACCATTCAAGTGATCCCAGAAAGCAATCCTCAGCTTTGCTTGCCAAGAAATGGTTATCTCAGCTAGACCCAGAACTGACTGAGAAGCTTTACTACACATATAAAGAGGACTTTGCGTTGATGAATTACAGTAATTTTACTCACCCAGATTTTCCTTTACCGATCATTCAGCACTAAAAGACCTACAAACGTATTAAAAGATTTTTTGTTGATGTTTCAAAAAAAACTTTGAGATTTTTTGAAACATTTTAATTAACACCGATAACATCTGTTTTCAATTTGAAGACAAACGATATAAACAAAAATAAATTACAGCGTTTCAACGTAATCATATAAATTTGGTCCATTTCACATAACATAATTGCTTTATTTTGTCTCAGTCTCTCTCGCATGTTAAATTTGTGGTAACCGCTATAAATACAGCAAAACCAATTTTTGTTGCGGGGTTCAAATTGGAAGAGTTGGACGTCATACTTGCAGCAATATCAATTGAAGGTAGTGGAATTATGGACTCAATCAGGCTGTAAAAGGATCTAGAATGCTTTAGAAGTGTACTGATTTCATTAGCATTAATTTTACTTCTCCATGTTTCTCATCTATAATTCAACATTAGGCGACTCCACAACGGCTGTTCTCTCCTTTCTGAAGCCCAACATAGTTAGAACCAAAACATAAATTGCAATAGAGCCTCCCACTAAACTTATAACTGCGACTACACCCGACGAGATTCCTTGCTGTGGTTCCGTGTCAGTACCTCCTCCTTTATCATTACCTCCTTTCTTAACTCTCAAACAAGGCTCCGGTTTAGCGTCTTCAGAACAGACTACTTGCTGTACCAGGGAGAAGTTTAGCGCTTCCACTCCGTACCCTTTATCACACTCAACAGTCACTGCGTGTCCGGGTAGAAACAAAGGTAGATTCGCTTCATTCTTTGGACCTCCGTGTGGGATGCTAAATTGTGGGATGGGACAGAAGTGTAGCTTTGTGTAGTTGTCAGGATTTTGGAAGAGGATTCCCTGGAGGAGCTCATAATCCCCCCTGGTGTTCTCAGTACTCAGAATAATGTCCCCTTCTTTTTCCAACTCTATCAATCCGTGAGAATGGATGAAAAATGAGTCCTTCACGCTGGCGTCGATATAAGGCGTTAAATATAAAGTTTGATTATCGTTCCCCTCGTCACATTCATTCAGCACGGCAGTAGCTCTTCTGTCTTGAAACTCCACATCCAGGCAGTGGGTTAGAATGTTTGCCGGGGAGAATATGTAAAGGTATTTCCTGCTGGTACCCGTAATAAACCACTTCTCAGCGCCATAGCAGTTTTTCCAAGATAACTTGATTGAAGTTTGGTTACTATCAGTTAGTTTTTGGGTGGCTACTAGACAAGTATTATCTAGCATGATTCCCTGCATGATAAGGACACCTCCCTTTTCCAGGCTTGTCTCCACCGCCATCTCCGCGTTCATACCATTTGTTGTTTTCACACATGTTTTCTCTAAAGTGACGCTCTTTCCCTCGCTGGATTTCTCAATAATCACTTGATACAATCGGTTCAACAAACTGCATGTAGAATTTGTGATGTCAAAAGAAATTGCTTTGCACAATTTAGAAATCTTACAATATCTCCAGCAATCGTAGCTGCCAGCTGTTTGAAAACTGGTGGCGCGCCCTTTTGGGGGAATAGGAATAATGAGACCTGTTTTGAAGCAAGCATCCTCGTGATCAGAGACAGGCAGGATATTGCTGACAGCAGTTTGGGAAGAGCTATGAGAATTTGGAAGTGTTGGTTTGTCAGGAAGTCCATTGCACAAGCTCACTGCTACAATTATGTGGATCTGAACACTCAGTAAGCTCATGCCAAACATGATATCGAGAATATCAAGAAAGTATTAACCTTCGAGCCGGTCTCTAAATTTCTGCAGAACAAAAAAATCACAAAATTTGCGTCTGATCCGATGCGACATTTCGAACCTGATGCAAATTGTAATATGAATATTCATACCGCATGCTCTGTGACTGTAGCTGAAAGGCTATAAAGAACGATCGAGTCCAGGGCAGTGATTTGTGGCGATCTAAAGCTATAACCAATCACTGCGAACCTGTTAATTTATTCTTTTAATTTGATATATCCATCTATTTTTATTTTGAAGGACCAGCTTTTTGTACACTGGTACCATATACATTATATATAATGTATATATAATACTGGTTGTAGTCAAACAGCTATCATGCTATATCAATATGCATGCTGAACACTCCGCAACTCTCGTGGAAAACAAGGCTATGTTAGACCTGGACAGTGAACACGTACTCCTCCACAAGGTTATGTTAGACCTGGACAGTGTGCACGTACTCCTCCACAAGGCTATGTTAGACCTGGACAGTGTACACGTACTCCTGCACAAGGCTATGTTAGACCTGGACAGTGAACACGTACTCCCCCACAAGGCTATGTTAGACCTGGACAGTGTACACGTACTCCTGCACAAGGCTATGTTCGACCTGGACAGTGTACACGTACTCCTCCACAAGGTTATGTTAGACCTGGACAGTGTACACGTACTCCTCCACAAGGCTATGTTAGACCTGGACAGTGTACACGTACTCCTCCACAAGGCTATGTTAGACCTGGACAGTGAACACGTACTCCTGCTGCACAAGGCTATGTTAGACCTGGACAGTGTACACGTACTCCTCCACAAGGTTATGTTAGACTTGGACAGTGTACACGTACTCCTCCACAAGGCTATGTTAGACCTGGACAGTGTACACGTACTCCTCCACAAGGCTATGTTAGACCTGGACAGTGAACACGTACTCCTGCTGCACAAGGCTATGTTAGACCTGGACAGTGTGCACGTACTCCTCCACAAGGCTATGTTAGACCTGGACAGTGTACACGTACTCCTCCACAAGGCTATGTTAGACCTGGACAGTGTACACGTACTCCTCCACAAGGCTATGTTTGACCTGGACAGTGTACACGTACTCCTCCACAAGGCTATGTTAGACCTGGACAGTGTGCACGTACTCCTCCACAAGGCTATGTTAGACCTGGACAGTGTACACGTACTCCTCCACAAGGCTATGTTAGACCTGGACAGTGTACACGTACTCCTCCACAAGGCTATGTTAGACCTGGACAGTGTACACGTACTCCTGCTGCACAAGGCTATGTTAGACCTGGACAGTGTGCACGTACTCCTCCACAAGGATATGTTAGACCTGGACAGTGTACACGTACTCCTCCACAAGGCTATGTTAGACCTGAACAGTGTACACGTACTCCTCCACAAGGCTATGTTAGACCTGGACAGTGTACACGTACTCCTCCACAAGGCTATGTTAGACCTGGACAGTGTACACGTACTCCTCCACAAGGCTATGTTAGACCTGGACAGTGTACACGTACTCCTCCAAAAGGCTATGTTAGACCTGGACAGTGTGCACGTACTCCTCCACAAGGCTATGTTAGACCTGGACAGTGTACACGTACTCCTCCACAAGGCTATGTTAGACCTGGACAGTGTACACGTACTCCTCCACAAGGCTATGTTAGACCTGACAGTGTACACGTACTCCTCCACAAGGCTATGTTAGACCTGGACAGTGTACACGTACTCCTGCTGCACAAGGCTATGTTAGACCTGACAGTGTACACGTACTCTTCCACAAGGCTAAGTTTGACCTAGACAATGTACACGTACTCCTCCACAAGGCTATGTTAGACCTGGACATTGCACACATACTCCTCCACAAGGCTATGTTAGACCTGGACAGTGTGCACGTACTCCTCCACAAGGCTATGTTAGACCTGGACAGTGTAAACTGTACACGTGCTCCTCCACAAGGTTATGTTAGACCTGGATAGTGTGCACGTACTCCTTCACAAGGCTATGTTAGACCTGGACAGTGTAAACTGTACACGTGCTCCTCCACAAGGTTATGTTAGACCTGGAGAGTGTACACGTACTCCTCCACAAGGCTATGTTAGACCTGGACAGTGTACACGTACTCCTGCTGCACAAGGCTATGTTAGACCTGACAGTGTACACGTACTCCTCCACAAGGCTATGTTAGACCTGGACAGTGAACACGTACTCCTCCACAAGGCTATGTTAGACCTGGACAGTGTGCACGTACTCCTCCACAAGGCTAAGTTTGACCTAGACAATGTACACGTACTCCTCCACAAGGCTATGTTAGACCTGGACATTACACACATACTCCTCCACAAGGCTATGTTAGACCTGGACAGTGTGCACGTACTCCTCCACAAGGCTATGTTAGACCTGGACAGTATGCACGTACTCCTCCACAAGGCTATGTTTGACCTGGACAGTGTAAACTGTACACGTGCTCCTCCACAAGGTTATGTTAGACCTGGACAGTGTGCACGTACTCCTCCACAAGGCTATGTTAGACCTGGACAGTGTAAACTGTACACGTGCTCCTCCACAAGGCTAAGTTAGACCTAGAAAATGTACACGTACTCCTCCACAAGGCTTTGTTAGACCTGGACATTGTACACGTACCCCTCCACAAGGCTATGTTAGACCTGGACAATCTACACGTACTCCTCCACAAGGCTATGTTAGACCTGGACAGTGTACACGTACTCCTCCACAAGGCTATGTTAGACCTGGACAGTGTACACGTACTCCTCCACAAGGCTATGTTAGACCTGGACAGTGTACACGTACTCCTCCACAAGGCTATGTTAGACCTGGACAGTGTACACGTACTCCTCCACAAGGCTATGTTAGACCTGGACAGTGTACACGTACTCCTCCACAAGGCTATGTTAGACCTGGACAGTGTACACGTACTCCTCCACAAGGTTATGTTAGACCTGGACAGTGTACACGTACTCCTCCACAAGGCTATGTTAGACCTGGACAGTGTACACGTACTCCTCCACAAGGATATGTTAGACCTGGACAGTGAACACGTACTCCTCCACAAGGCTATGTTAGACCTGGACAGTGTACACGTACTCCTCCACAAGGCTATGTTAGACCTGGACAGTGTACACGTACTCCTCCACAAGGATATGTTAGACCTGGACAGTGTGCACGTACTCCTCCACAAGGATATGTTAGACCTGGACAGTGTGCACGTACTCCTCCACAAGGATATGTTAGACCTGGACAGTGTGCACGTACTCCTCCACAAGGCTATGTTAGACCTGGACAGTGTGCACGTACTCCTCCACAAGGCTATGTTAGACCTGGACAATGTACACGTACTCCTCCACACCAAAATATTTGCTCTAACTGCAGAACCCTTTCGCGCTTGCAGTAGCAAACCAGCAACTTGGTCAAATGCAATTGTGAACGTTACATTATTTTCGTTTACTCTAAATGTATCTAGTAGTTAGAAAGTTAGAATGTTCGTTTCAGACGCACGAAACTCAGCTCGAACTTTACCACTGCCCAGGTAAACCATTCAGTGTACATTTATTTGATTATGCTCTACCCAGGGCGCCCAGCAGAACAGTCCAAGTCTCACCTTCAATTTACACCATCATGTGCAAAAATCTGACCACCCTCAAGACAATATAAAGATAAAATGAGATACAATAAAATATTAACACAAAGACGGCACTAGTACCTTAAATCAGTTAAACCACTGTGTTAAAAGGAACAGAACCGTGACGTGTTCATCTTCACCGCGACAGATGTGGATCTTAACCAGATTTTCCGACTGACTGGCTTCGGTAGAATGTTCTATACAATAAAAAACCTCGAAAACGACACAAAAGAAGTCACCCATCCGTTTATTCCCCGACTATATAAACCAGTTGCCTGAAGAACAAGAGCAATCTAGTTTGAGAAGACACTCGCGATGAAAGTCATATTTATCATATTACTATTAGCAATCTCACTCTCAGCAGCCTACGCTGCAAAAGACGACCAGGTCAGCCTGGCTGTAAAAGACCCTAAAGCTATGCTACGTCTGTTCGGGGACTTCCAGAAGACGTACAGCCGACACTACTCACGCTCGCAGAGGAGACTGAGGCTGCAGAACTTCAATAGTTTTGTGAAGAACGCTGACGAGTTGAATCGGATGGATAAGGATGTTCAGTATGGTATTACGTTCTTTGCAGACCTCACGGCTGCAGAAGCAAACAGACTACGGGGCATCAACCAAACTGCCCTATTCCAAGACACAGAAGAATCAACAACCTCTGATGATGATGATGATGATGATGATGATGATGATGATGATGATGATGAAGATACTGCTGATCTGAAGATCGCGAATGACGTCAGATACGGACCTATAAAGAATCAGAGCCCTTGTGGATCGTGCTGGGCATTTGCTGGAGTTGGGCTCTTAGAAGGACACGCATATCTCACCACCGGACACTACGTAGCGCTTTCTGAGCAAGAGGTTATAGATTGCACTGAGGGCTCCGGGACCGATTGGGGTGATTTAATGGCTGGTCTCAGACAAGTGAGGGATCAAAACCATCTAGCCACAGAAGCTGATTATCCCTATAAAAAGAACGACGGTTGGTGTAACGCCCGCCAACACTCCAATGCTCTTCCCTTTAGAATAACAGCAGTGAACCACATCAAAGGAGATAACCGTTTGTTCAGCGCGCTCCAAGATGCGCCAGTGGCAGTGGCTATGAGCTTCCCTTCAGCGCTGAACGGGTATAAATCAGGTGTGTGGAGAGATAGAGTGGGACAATGTGCGGGCACTCCTATAAACCACGGAGTAGTGGTCGTGGCATACAGTTTTCAGCACTGGAAGGTGCGAAACAGTTGGGGCAGCAACTGGGGGGAGCAGGGCTACATTAGGTTCAGCAGGAGGGTCAATAACCTTTGTAGGATAAGTGATGTTGCTACAACTATTTCCCTGCAGAAAACCAGTGCAGTTGAGGAGGAGGAGTAGGACCTTTTTCATTTTAATCCTCGCATTTAATGTAGTTTTTCTTTTGGGTAAATCGTAAAAAGTAAAACTATTTTTTTTACTTGTACTGTGACATCGGAAATTTACTTTTGGATCTTAAAAGGAAAATTTAATAATAATATAAACTAAAGACGTTGATATATTTCAAAATTCTTGTTTAGATTCTTGTCCTCTTTCCTCCGTTGACAGTCACATTAACGGGTAATACTCGTAAAATATCTGAGTCCAACTCGGCTCGCGTCTCGGTAGGTTGTAAACCTACAACCATTGCTAAGGGGTGCACGATAAAAATAAACATGCTCGGATTTTTAAAATTTTTGTACTATTGTTTTCTAGAGACTGTGGGAATTCTCATAGTACCAAATTTGTTTCACCTTTTTGAAATAATCAGTGAGTATCGACTAAGTGCCATATTTGATGATGCGCGGCTTTTGGAGCAAAATTAGGTGTAAAAGTCGCGTAATTTGACGAAATTCGTTGATTTTTGTCGTATTATTCTGTCATATCTCAGGTTCCTGTATATGAATCATTCTGAAAATTTGTCAGAATCTTCCAATCTTACTTAACTACCGAACCTAATTTAGTTGGGAGTGATTAACCTTGATTAAGAGGTCTAAAAATGACAAAATAGGTATAAATTCGTTGATAACTCAAATTCTGACAATCAAAATTGCTCAAACTAAATTAGGTTCAATAGAACAAAAGTGTTTACGTAAGCTGACCAAATTTCAACAAAATTGTTATTTGTTATATAGGAAGTATTATAACTTTTTGATTGTTTCCGAATAATGTGCTGGCCGAAATACGAGCTAAAAACCATTCAATGGTCAGCGCGCGCGTCTCACGGTCGATGGCGCACGGCCTACCATTGCATCACAACAATATTTCATTTCTATCAATTTGAATTGCAAGATATTGTATCAACATTTCCAATTTTGAATTGAACTTGAAGCAATATGAACCAACTTATAGTTTATCACCCTGACAAATCTTAATATGACATCTAATAGTAATAATTTAATTCGTTACATTTAATGATTTTAAAATTATGATGTTTGTCACACAGAATTTTGTGCGCTCCAATGCTGCTTTAACTTTAATTATTCGATCATTTCTTGATATTCAGCCTTCATTACATAACACTATAAGTATAACAGTTAGTGTTATTCAATCATCTTATTCTTAAGTTAAGGGATAGAAGATATCTGAGTTAGGGAAACTAAAATCTTCACCAATCACCTTTTTGGGAACGTGGGGTGGAGAGAGGATGTGCTTGGGGAGTATAAGGGAAGGAGGTTCAACATATTTACATGTACATCATTCCGTTAACTTACAGATTCTCACACAGGGAGGTTCGTTAGCTGCGACTAGTTGACTATCCTGACAAGTTGCCTTGTTACCTCCCTTGTTAATATGGTCAGATAGACAAGTGAGGATTATCTCCAATCCATGTTTAACTGGTAACTTAGGTTCCGTCTTGACGATTCCCCATGTAGAGTCGAGGTTGCTGCAATCTGAAATTATAATGATTGATCTTCAGTCTTCACTTCGTATTCGGTATTTGTTGTGTTAATCGCAACATAATATTACAAGTACTTTAATATCTAGCACTGCTTCGCACGGTACATGAGGCGCAGTGAGCAATTAACACGTAACCCACTGTTCAGTGTGTTATCTCACCTTGATTTTCTGTCACTGCTATCTCCGTAATCCCAAACAATCTACCGTCATTACTTTCTACCTTGACTGTATCTCCGTACTTACAGTCGGTGATAAGAGGTAGGTTGTCTAGTGCTGCTTCCCCGCTATAAACTGTCAGAGAAAAGCCGCTACACTCTCCACCCTCGCATACTGAGCAGTCAGTCTGAGAGCAGGTCCAGGTAGCATGAATAATCTCTTTATAAGGGACAAGGTCATATCTGTACCGCACTACCTGCTTCACACAATGAACCTTATCAAAGGTTAATGTAAACCAGGAGGCACCCGAAGACCACGTTCCTTTGTCCAGGTCTATAGCGTGGGGAGCATCCCACCCAGTACTGGACTGCTCAACTCTCGCTGGTATTATCTCACCAGCTAGTCTTTCTCTCGGTGCTAAAATAACAAGTGTTATGGGTACTCATATTAGCAACAATTGTTGGACGTTAGGGAGTGAGTACTCCTCAAACCACGTTAAATTAATTCCTTCTGTAACGTCCTCAATAAATGTAATAGATTTGTAGTGTTGTCATTAGTTTAGCATATGATATTGAAATGCTGCAATGATTCGTGATTGTTTGAAACATTTTACCTCAGAGTATACTCTATGGAACTGATAAATGATCTAATTACTAATAAATCTAAGTCTGATTAAAATGTGTTCTGTTTCTTACCACTGTTAGCAAAATAGAGAAGAAGTTGGAGCACCAAGAAATGAATTATCATCGACATCATCAACTGCAGCGCTGTAAAATTATAAGCTAAGTTTTTGAAAAATTATAATACGTTTTCATATCTCATTTAAACAGGTGCGTAGTACAAAGTCAGCAGGTTATTACAGAATCGAGAATTCGTTAACTAGTCAGAGTCTGATTCCATGCATTTTCGGGAATTGGCTAAATGCTTTTGTTTCTACTTTTATGTTATTGCTTCGAATGCAGAACAAAATCTAATGTGGTCTATAATCGTTGTTCTAACTCAGAGTCCTAATTTACCAGGAAAATTTGAAGCAGACGCAAAAGCAAGTACTAGTAGTTGGAAATATATGTAGTGGTCTACAACAACATAGCTTCCTCTCGGCAGTTAAAGACACTCAAGATGTAAGGCACAAGCTAATGTTAAGTTAAAGTCGCATAACACCAGCTCTAAAAGTAAAATAGCAGCCAATCCTTAGGCTTCAACCGTTAACCAAATCCTTCTGAGTGATCTGGTTGTTTAGATGGTTCTACTTCTCTTAGCAGGCAGAGGTTGGGATAATGACCTTGAATTCTATTTAATGATATTCAGAGGAGTTAGTAGCTGTAGCAGCAGGAACCCGTTTAACTTTAAAGTGGTGTCAATTAGACTCAAGAGACTAAAATAAGTATTACCTATTTAATTCGCTGGCTCACTTAAATTTACACAAATTGAACCGTCTCACTCTTAAAGAAGCGACAAGGCCTATTTCATTGAGCTAGTGAACTTTATAGCTTGGAAGATGCCGCTATTGTTAACGGTATTTTGTCATTGGCAAGATCGTTAGGAAAAGACAAGTTCTATTGAAGCTTCAGTAACGACTGTGCGTATTTACAGGTAAAGACTTGAAGTAAAACATTATAGTTTGTTCCAGAAGTAGAGGATCATTGTGAATTTGGAATTGCTGGTCGTTGTGTATTGTTAAATCTTATGTCTAGACACTTAGCTTCTTTGTCGAACAGTGCAGATTATGGGCTAACGAATGATGCCTGCGCGAGAGGGTTCTGGTTAGAGCAATAACACACATAACACCGCCACGAACAATAGTTATATTTTAACTTACCTGGGGACCCCAGGCTATATAAATGTTCATAAACATAGAGCTAGAGATTCGGCGGAATGACAGGCTGTGAGGCTGAGCGCTGTCCAGTAAATTTTAATAAGTGCGTAGCTTAGCACTACTAGTACTACTAGCTTACTAGCAGTAGCACGAGGGATTGTTATGAAAATAACGCCGATGTGCGTGGCACGAGGGGTTATTGTGATATACCTTCCAGCGTGAGGCGTTTTGTGTTATAAATATACAAAACTCTTTCGGAATACTATTAGTATTACTGCTATGGGACGGGCCGGGATCGAAAATAACGGGTGGGATAATTAAGACTGTACAAGTACAAGTACAACTACAAGGATTATTTTAAAAGCGGGGAAATCAGCGGAATGGATAAAAGGAACGGCGCCCCTTATTTTCTAATTTCTATCCCGTCCCTTAGCAGTATCCTGGAGGACATTTAATTTTATAGTGTAAAAGATTAAATTTCATTTTTATGCAATGGTGAAAAAGATTTTGCTCGAGATAATTAGAAGAATTTTTTAAAATGTAGAGAGGTGACAAAAATAATCGTTAATTTTAGCATCTATTCTCACAGTTAAATTGTTGTTAAAATGAATACAAGTTAGCATGACACATTTTTAATTGAATAAGTTTTTAGAATTTGAACATTACAAACCAATTGCTACACTTTAGATAAGATCGTATAAGTTTCAGAAACATAACTCTGCCGAATGCCGGCCTTTTCAGAACAAATTAATTTTGTTTAAATATTTGAGTGAAATGGAACTAAGCCACGGATTATAAAAGACATATTTAGACTTTAGAGATGCTAAAACTATAATAGTATAATACTAATAGTATAATGGACACTGATTCAATCCCTTTACACAGTTTTTAGACTGTATTGACAGCTGTTGAGTGTTGTGGAACATAACAAGAAAATAAAAAATAATCTTGTGCGAGGGTAGGGACCCATATGTCGTTTCTAACCCAAGGCCAAATAAACTTTAAGGAGGCTTCTCGACTCTCGTCAGTAGCCGCACCTTCTTACTCGGTTTCTGAACTGGAATTCTATGGGCTTTCAGACAGCCAAACTGAGTATTACAATCCCATCCTTCTAGAGTTCATTACAAGTAAGTGTAACACCCATCTTGAAGATCTTTGACACACTGACACAGTGCACACCCCATTGGCAAACAAACTTTGGATATAATCTTACATGCTCCCGAAGGAATCCCTGGTTTATGGTCTTTGTCATAATACAATATCATTAAACAGAATTCAAGGTCATTATCCCAACCTCTGCCTGGTTGGATGCTATGAGAACCATCTAAACAACCAAATCACTCAGAAGGATTTGGTTAACGGTTGAAGCCTCAGGAATGGCTGCTATTTTGAGCTGGTGTTATATGACTTTAACTTATTTAAAGTCACGCAATATTTTGCTGCTATTTTGCGTCAGCTAGTGAACAACAAGTTTACTACTGCTTTTGAAACAGCTGCTATGACACAATGCACTTGTT